CCATGTGCAAGAGGCAGCTGATCGATGATTCTCTCATCGATGTTTCTAACTTTCTATCTCTCTCTCTTCCTCTCTGTAAAAAATCAATCTACTAAAAAAAAAAAGAATGTGAGAAAAGTTAAAAATGTTTGCGTTAACTTACCTTAAAACTTAAAGTCTGATAGTAAAGATACATTCCCCACTGCCCTGAAGCCTGTGTACTCCAGAGATAAGGATTTGAACTGACGCAGAGTGACTTGTGTCAAGATAAACACTTGCCTGAGTGAGGTACTCTCCTTAGCCCCTCGCAGTGTTAAAGATGGACATATGTGCATTGAACTAATTCGTTGATAGCCACCTGGGCTGCTACGGGTACGAACAGGCCTTAAACATGGACCTCTGCCAGCCAACGATGCTCCTCTTGTGGAGACATTACAAAGGCCGGTCTCTTTGTGGCTCCTCTTCCTGCCAGATGACAGAGGAACAGCCAGGAATCCCCAATTGAGATGAGACCGAGCTCTTGGGGGAAGAATGCCAGCCCCCTGCACCGGGACCAGCCCAGCTCAGCTGCCTGACCACAGAGGACAGCACCACAGGGATCCCTAAGTCTGTACCCGCAGCATCAGGAATCTGTGTGAATAATAAAAAGCTGTGATTTGCAACTGCATATGCTTCATGTGGTGTAATTCCTCCGGCAGTTAATTGAATTAATTTGCGTGCGCTTAGATTTTAAATGAAAGCCTTTGGTCTTTGTTGGTTCTAGGCCTGCCTGCCACTCTGGTCCTGCTGTTGCAGAGCAGTCTCTCTATCAGCATCGACTAGAATGTCCCGATTCCTGCACGGTTCAAGTTTATCTCAAGGGACGCCTTCGATGAACGCCCCAGATCCTTTCCCGGGATCTACTTGGGACAATCGGGTTACTATTTCCCCTTTTTAATGATCAAGCAATTTGTGGCTATTTACGTGGAAAGCTTCCAATGTCTTTTCAAGTTCATGGGACCAAAAAAAAAAAAAAAAAAAAGAACAAGAAAGACGCAGCTTTCCTTCCAAAGAAATACCCACTGCTTGCAGAACTGATCCAACAGCGTGCCTTCGGCTCTACGGCTTTGTTAAGTGAATTTGCACCTTTCCGGAAGGGCGAGGATGCTAGGCCGCAAAGCATACAGGGAATTGTAGTCTTCCGGGGAGCTCCCGTCTTAACGCCGCCCTGTGGTCTCCCGCAGAAAGAGCCAGAAGCTGAACAGGGAGGGCGGAGAGGGCGCCGGTGGCGGGCGCTCTGGTCGCGTTGCATCACGGGACTGGTAGTTCGCGGCCGCCCTCTGCCGCGCCCCAAGCGGGAGAACTGGACTACCACTCCCGAAAGGCCACTCGCGCGGGGGCCGGGGCAGCCGTCAGGGCCTCGGACAAATCAAATCGAAGGAAAGAAACTGCCGGCTTTCAAAATCCTCCTCCTCCGCCATCATCCTCCGCCGTGCGGCGAGCAGGTGGTGTCGAGCCGGGAGGACCGTCAGGAGAACGGGCGGGCGGGCGGGCTGGGCATCGGGACCGCAGGACTCGGAGGCGGCGACGCCGACCCGCGCTGCCGGGGCCGCCAGTCCGTCCTCGCTCCGGCCGGGTGCGCGCCGCTCGGGTCTCCGCGCGCGGCGGCGCCGGCTGTTTACGGTACAGTCGGGTCCCCTTCCTTTCCCGTCACCTGCCGGGTGGGGTGGGGTGGGGGGTGGCGCGTCCCCGGAACTGGCCGTGGAAGGTGGGGGCCTCCGGAGCGGGTTCTCCCTGGAGCGCGGAGCGGCTGGGAGGGAGGTGCTGGCCCCTCTCACGAGGGGGGAAACTGAGGCTCGCCCGGCCGCCCCGGCGTTTCCTGTCGGCGTCGGTGTCAGCGGGGGCGGTGCGCGTCCTCCGGGATCCCGGGGGCGGCTCCGCGCCGCCGCCTGTCACCGCGGCCCGCGCCGCCGCCGCCGCCTCCGCCCACCCACGCCCGCCGCCCGGGGCCCGGCCTGAGTCACCGGCGCCTCCCCGGCGAGGGCCGCGCAGGAGAGCGTGGAGGCCGAGGACTGTCCGTGTTCACTGTTTGTCTTCGGACAGATTAACGCACCTCTCTGTGCGTGGGGTGGACCGTGTGTGTGTGTGTGTGTGTGTGTGTGTGTGTGTGTGTGTGTGTGTGGACTCGGCTGAACGGTGGGCTCCCCCCCAGCTGCTAAGTTCTGGGTGCCTGTTGCCTTTGGGGGCCTCAGCACCATTTTTCTATCCCCAAGTTGGCCCCTCGCAGAACCGCCAGAGGTGGTGGGGTTTCAGGCGGATGTTTACTCCGTTTCTAACCGCCGTTGGAGCCCTTTCCAAACGCCCCGCAGACCGTGACAGGTCACCCCTCTCCTCTGCCGGGTCCCTCCCGGCGGCTCCCCGGGCCACTCAGAATGAAAAAAAGCCGCGGCTCTGAAAATGACCTTTGTGGCTCGGGCCTTGGTTCATTTTCTTTCCCCAGATCTCACCTCCTTCCTCCCTGCTCTCTGTACCCCAGCCTCCGTGGCCCCCTTGAAGTCCCCCCCAAAAAGCAGTTGCATTTGCAAGAATGTTCTTCCTCCAAGTCTGTCTTCCCTAATAAGTTCTCTAACTATTCTCTAACTTGAAATTGGGCAGGCACACACACACACCCAAACAATTCTTTACCCGCCTCCTTTCCTGTTTATTTTTCTTCAGACACTGAGTTTCTTGTTAAAGATACTAAATATCTCGTGTAGAACATGCCTTTCCACAGCGCAGGGTTTTTGTGTCACCATTCACTGCCGGTACCTGGGACAGTGCCCGGCACACAGTTGTACTCAGGAATGTTAAATGAATGAATGGACGGATGCCTCCTTCCCCAGAAAAAGAATTCATGCTTATTGATAAGAACAGACAGGCCCTGGCTGGGTAGCTCAGTTGGTTAGAGCATCGTCCCAATATCCCAAGGTTGTAGGTTCGATCTCCAGTCAGGGCACACAAGATAACAGCCAGCCAATGAAGGCATAAATACAATAAGTGAAATAATAAATCGATGTTTCTCTTTCCTTTATTCTCTCTTAAAAAAAAAAAAAAAAAAAAAAGGACAGACCAGGGTGATAAGGGTTAAGATCAGGAGAGCGGGGTGGGAAGCTGGCTGTTGAGGCCCAGAGGAAGCCAGGGGAGTGAGAAGATGGGGTAGGAAGCCATCCTGATGGAAGCAGTTCTTCCCCCGTATCAGTCTGCCTTGATCTCCCCTGATTACCTGCCATTTCCTCTGGAGAAATGGAGTGGTCCTTTCTGAGTGCTGGACTCCATGCGGGCAGCCCTGCCCCTGGTCTATTGTGATGGCGGCTTGGCTGTTGTGATGTAGGGACCCCTGGTGTCCTAGGAATCCCTGAGGTCTGACCACGTGGGCCGCCTACCCTCCTGGCCAAGGCTGAAACCAGATGTGCAGTGGGCTGACCCCTGTGCCCCACCCCCAGAGTCATGCCAGCGAGGGTGGGGCATTCTCTGGGATGGATGACCTGGATCCTGTAGCCTTCTGTGTCCTGTTTGAGGAGTGGGACCCTCAGACAGAAAGTAGCCACGATGATCAGGCAGGTGTGTGCCTGGGGCAGACTCCTTACCGCCATGGGTCTGGCACTTAACTGCCTCTCGTGGGGGCCCAGGAAATGGGCAGCTCACAGGGCTTTGCTAGGTGTCCCAGCGGGGGCATTTGGGTTCTCCCCAGCCAGGGGACCCAGGAGTTCCTCCATCCCTTTCTCCCTCCCCCTGTCTCTTATATGTAGCATTTATTATTATTATTATTATTACTTTGGTTAATCCTCACATAAGAATATATTTTCCCCTTTTTTTTTTTTTTAAGGGAGAAAGGGGGGATGGAGAGAGAGAAACATGGATGAGAGGGAGAAACATGGATGTGAGAGAGAGACATAGATTGGTTGTCCCCAAGAATGTGCCCAGACCAGAGCCTGGGGACAGGAATCAAACCTGCAACCCAGGTACATGGCCTTGACTGGGAATCAGACCTGTAAACCTTCAGTGTGAGGGCCAACAACGCTAACCATTGAGCACACCAGCCAGGGCACATTTTAATTTTTTAACAAAAAAAATGATCTAAAGATTTCATTTGAAAGATTTTAAAACAAGTTACAAAATTTTGTTTCAACTATTCAGGTACAGTTTTAAGAAGCTTAGAGTTTTACAATAACATTAGCTTTAGCAACAAATTACATTATAATGAAAATAATTACAAGGAAGGGTGAGGGGCAGACTCTTTACAAGGAGTTGATGGAAGGAAACTTGACGCGGGGTGATGAACACACAATACAGTGTACAGTGATGTATTGTAGAACTGTGCACTGAAACCTGTGTAATTTTGTTAACCAGTGTCACCACAATACATTAAATAAAAAGTAAAGAATAACATAAAAAAATAAAATAATTACAAACATTAAATATGAAAACATTCTCTCCATAACATGGGTCTCAGTTACCTTCTCATTCATTGTAGCTATCATTACTTTAAAAATAGAGTTAAAGTATGTTTGTTTAGGCCCCCCCCCCAAAAAAAAAAAATACATGCATGTTTATAGGGCATAGTAATGTCAGCCACCGTCACCACTGAAGAGGGCAGTAAAATAGCATTCTTTGTCATCGTGTAAAAGAAAAATGCTTGGCTGCCAAAAATGTGATGTTGCTTCTCAGTGGTCTGCCACCGACTAACCAGTGAACCTGATGTGGTTACTTTTGATTCTTGCATCATAGCCATTCTCCATCTTATTACAGAGTACCGTTCTCCCAAATTGAATTGTTTCCTACCATTTAAAGATTTTATTTAAAAAACAAAACTCATCACATCAGTGATATCCTACAGACTTGTGTATACCTATGACTTGGATTGACTTGGTAACATAGCTTGCTTATAATGATTAGTAAGTACAGCTCTGTGATGCTCTCTGGAAATGAGCCTCCCCTCTCTCAATGAAACTTTGGTCACCTCAGTTTGCAGGTTTCTGGGGGAGCCCGCCAGTGTGTCCAGCATGGCCTCTGAAGACATTGCCAAGTTGGCAGAGACGCTAGCCAAAACCCAGGTGGCTGGGGGACAGCTGAGTTTCAAGGGCAAGAGCCTCAAACTCAACACTGCAGAAGATGGTGAGTTCCTGCACGGAGCGGGGGTGACCCAGGGGAGGAAAGGGAGTGTGGGAATAGTGCTCACTCTTCCTGGTAGTCGGGCTCATTTAGCTACATTGTCGCATTTTGTCCCTGCAGCTCTGAGAGGTATCATTGGGCCCATCTAACAGTGAGGCTCAAAGGTGACTTGCCCTTGAGCATGCGCAGGCTTCCCTGCTGGTCTCCATGTTTTTTGTGTTTTTAAAAAAAATATATTTTATTGATTTTTTACAGCGAGGAAGAGAGAGGGATACAGAGTTAGAAACATCGATGAGAGAGAGTCATCAATCAGCTGCCTCTTGCACACCCCCTACTGGGGATGTGCCCGCAACCAAGGTACATGCCCTTGACCGGAATTGAACCCGGACCCTTTAGTCCGTAGGTCGATGCTCTATCCACTGAGCCAAACAGGTTTCTGCTGGTCTTCATGTTTGCGGTGGGCATTCCTGCCATGACGGCTCAGGCTGGCAGCGGGGGAGAGCCCCTTTATCTCTTGGGGGAACAGAGGCAGTGAGAGACCTTAGTTTGTGGCAGTCCCAAGGTGTAGTTGCTAACTTCTTACTTTGGATCCACCCCCACCTTACCCCCATGATCCCCATGGTCTGGGAATACCTTCCACCTTCCCCAGAGCTGAGGCCCTCCCTCCTGGCGCTGCATTAAAACAGTCTGGTCCCTCTCGGGAGGTCTGGTGGATGCAGCTGAAACTCCTCGAGGCAGGATGGCCGTCCCTGCCTGTGTGCAGGCCCGAGGATGGGAGAGAACTAGGAATCGGAATGCAGACCACCTTTCCACCCCTGGCACTGACCATCCCTGAGTCTCCTGGGGACTGGCAGTGAAGGCGCCCTGTTGGTACTTTTGGCCCAACCAGGAAGCTGGTTGGAGTGTGTGCGGCAGGCTTGCCCTCCGCCATGTCAGAGCTGCTTTAGTCTTTGGTTGCTGGGAGCAGGGTGCTCACACTCCCAATCGGATTCACAGAGCTGAGAACTGAGTGCGATACTGTTTACATATTTTCTTCCCCTTTAAAATGAGTTGGCGTTTTTTGGAAGAAAGTTGGTGAAACAATTAAATATTCATTTTCCGCCGAAACCGGTTTGGCTGACTGGGTAGAGCGTTGGCCTTCGGACTGAAAGGTCCCAGGTTCAATTCCGGTCAAGGGCATGTACCTTGGTTGCAGGCACATCTCCAGTGGGGGGTGTGCAAGAGGCAGCTGATCGATGATTCTCTCTCATTGATGTTTCCAGCTCTCTATCCCTCTCCCTTCCTCTCTGTAAAAAAATCAATAAAATATATTTAAATAAAAATAAAAATTCATTTTCCTAGAGCTATGAAACGTATGAAAGTATTTAAAACACTAAGAAATCAAAATGCTAGTTAGGCTAGTGTTCAAAGTAGTAATAATGTACCTTTAAAAATCTGATATGATACCTATATTAAAATGTTAAAACTCTCAGAGCTCAGGGGAATGTGTAAGCGTGTTTCTGAAACACTTTGGAATACGTTTTAGAACCTTAACATCTCTACTGAGTGTTGAAATACTGAGAATTTGTAATCAAAGCACTGTGAAAGGTAGGATAGTCTTACAAATGGTAATAATTGTTATTTAAAGTGCTGGTATATATGTAAAAACTCTGTTTAAACACTTGGAATTCACAATGAATGAGCTTGAAACACTGGAAAAAAGTGACTCAAACTTTAGAAATTCACAATGATAACCTAGGTTAATGTCTAAGAACATGCTTGAAACATTAGGAATACATCAACAAAGAGCCTTCATATCTGTAACATATTGCTTAATGACAGGGAAATCGTGTTCAAAGATCACCATTTACAGAGTGCCTCCCTGTGTTTTTGTTACTTTTGATTCTTGCATCACCCTGAGATACAAATGTTGCTGTTTTATAAATAAGGAAAAAGGACTTTGGAAACTTAAATAACTTGCCCAAGGTCATACAGCGGGTAAGTGGAGTCAGGATGTTAAGAGTGGCCCGGCTGCTTCCTGTTCCTCTGCTTCTCCGTGGACATTCAGCTCAGTGGATTCGTGTTAAATGCTATTCATTGAGCACAGTGTCAGGCAGAGTCTTAAGTGCCTTACAAATAGCGTCTGTTTATCCTCACAAAAGCCCTGGAAGTAGGCTTCATCTCAATGAAGGCTCGGGGAGGTGGTATGATTACCGGAGGGCACAGCTCTAAGTAGTGCAGCTGGATTGGAACTCAGCTTTCCGTGGCCCTAACATCTGTGCAGATAGCCAGCCGCTTCCCCAGCACGGGCTGGACATGCTGCCCCCCATCTAGAAGGTCACTAAGGATGCCCAGCTCCCAGCCCCAGCCTCCGAGGAGCTCATCGTGTGGAACGGGAATGGGGTACTGAACAGGAGGCAGAAGGCGCAGGGAAGCATGTGGGGGAAGGGACCACTGAGTGCAGGAGGGTCCAGGAAGTCCCTGTGGATGAGGGGCATTTGTCCTGGAGGGAAGATTTAAGGGGAGAGCATTGCAGGATGGGAGAAACACGTGAGCTAGACACCGCCGCCGGGACACACAGGGAGAAAAGTCAGAATCCCACGGGGAGCCCAGGGCAGAGGCCCTGAGTGCTGGGCGAGGAGCCTGGGCCTTACCTTGGACCCAGAAAGGGCTCTGTCTTGGCTGGGAGTGAGCCCACGCAGACAGGGTGGGCGAGGGCCTGTGCGAGGGGGCCATGTGTCTGATGGTTATTCGGTCAGGCCCTTTTCTCCCCAGGAAGTCATTTAAGGACCAAAGAAAGGCCTTCCTGCTGTATGTGGCAGAGGAATTAACCCGGAACTTGTTACTTTGTCCCAGAGGCTGAGAAGAGAAACCCCCGCCACACAGCCAGGTGACTGCTGGTTATTTAGGGATGTTAGGGGCCCATTTCTGATCTGTTGTTTTGTGTTTGTTTGTTTTTTGTGTTTTTTTTAATTCACTTAATTTTTAATATATTTTATTGGTTTTTTACAGAGAGGAAAAGAGAAGGATAGAGAGTTAGAAACATTGATGAGAGAGAATAATCAATCAGCTGTCTCTTGCACACCCCCTTCTGGAATCGAACCTGGGACCTTTCAGTCCGCAGGCCGACACTCTAGCCACTGAGCTAAACCGATTTTGGCTCTGATCTGGCTTTAAGTTAGGTGTAACTCTATTTGGATTGGAAACCAAATGAGAGGGCAATTCACGTGTGACCCCCACTGCCTCCTGTCCCTGCTCTTCCCATTTTGGTGCATTTCCTTGCGAGGTTGGTCTGTGGGAAGCACAGCACCTGTGTGTGTGCTTGGGTCACTCAGGCAGCAGAGGTGGGCCTCCCTGGCGCCCTGGCCTCTCGCCGCCTTGCTTTCACGGACGGCATAGACAGGCTTGACCTGCCAGGCCCTGGGTGCTAAGGGCCATTTCCCTTTGGAACAGGCATTCAGCCCCTGCACAGCTGCTAGCTCCGGAGCAGCCACCCAGGAGGGGGCAGGAAGGGGAGGGGTAAAGGGGCGTCTCTGCTGGGGGCTGCTTGAAGTCCATGGTTGTACACAGAGGCAAGGGTAAAGGGTAAAGGGGGACCATGTAGGCTCGGTTTTGGAAAAGCAGTCTGAAGTGCAGCCTTGCTGGTTTCCCTGAGTTCCTGAGCAATATTGCTTCATCCTTGAAACCTCAGCTTCCTCTTTAAGTGGAGGCCCATACCTGTGGCCTCCCTGTCAGAAGTGGGAAATGAATGCTGAGTCGTTCCTTTCCTAGCAGTGTGACCTTGGTAGGCATTCACTTCCCCTCTGTGTCTTAACATTCACGTAAAATAGATGTGACAGTAGCCGCCTCATTAGAGGCTGTGGGAATGTAGGAGTCAGTGTGTGTAAAACGCACACATTAGTGTATTAAGTGTTTATCCGTATGACGTAGTGAGTAGAGGCAGGCGAGCCCTTTCCTCATGACCCAGTGGGAAGACGTGTTAGGTTCATGAGGCGGGTAACATTGCAGCAGGCTCCATAGGAGGTGGGGCTGTGCTGCCTGTTGGGAGCCTAGCAAGGGCTTCTGAGGACGTGCGGCAGAGGGGAGGCGGAGGGAGGCGGGGTGCAGAGGTCCCCAGCTTGGACAGCTGTGAAGGGACCCCTTAGAGGCCGAAAATTACAGCCTTTCTCAAGACCTCTGTGGGGTCTAACCGGTGTGGCTCAGTGGATAGAGCGTCGGCCTGTGGACTAAAGGTCCCGGGTTCAATTCCGGTCAAGGGCATGTACCTTGGTTTCGGGCACATCCCCAGTAGGGAGTGTGCAGGAGGCAGCTGATCAATGTTTCTGTCATCAATGTTTCTATCTCTCTCCTTCTCCCTTCCTCTCTATAAAAAAATCAATAATAATAATAATAATAATTTTATATATATATATATATATATATATATTTTTTTTTTTTTTTTTTTTTAAAGACCTTGTGTGGGTTTTGTAACCTGGAAGGTCAATTTCAAACTTTTATCTCCCATATATACATCTCCATCTGTTCTCCACTATTCGTTTCATGTAACTGGTGTGTTTTGTTCAGATTGTAAAGTTAATACATGCACATTATAGAAACATTGGAAGAAGGAAAAAAACTCAGTAACTTAATTATCACACAGCCCAGGGATATAACTACTGTTAATTTTTGTACATTTTTTAAGTCATTTGTTGTGTGTGTGTTTTTCCTAAACATGGCTGAATTCCTTTTTCTTTAATAAAAAAATTTTTTTTAATATATTTTATTGATATTATTTAAAGAGTGCTTTTTAATTTTATTTATTTATATTTTATTGATTTTTTTACAGAGAGGAGGAGGAGAGAGAGAGAGAGAGAGAGAGAGAGCTAGAAACGTCCAATGTACATGCCCTTGATCGGAATCGAACCTGGGACCCTTCAGTCTACAGACCGACGTTCTACCACTGAGCCAAACTGGTTTCGGCTATTTTATTGATATTTTTACAGAGAAGAAGGGAGAGGGCTAGAGAGTTAGAAACGTTGATGAGAGAGAAACATCGACCAGCTGCCTCCTGCACACCTCCTTCTAGGGATGTGCCCGCAACCAAGGTACATGCCCTTGACCGGAATCGAACCTTGGACCTTTGAGTCCCCAGGCCGACGCTCTATCCACTGAGCCAAACTGGTCAGGGCCCTTTTTCTTTTTAAAAAAAACAATTATGATCATATTACAGATATTTTAAAAGCTACTTTATAACCTGGATCACTTATTATAACCATCACCTAGACCAGGGGTCTGCAGCCTTTAAGACATAAAGAGCCACTTGGACCCTTTTCCGAAGGAAAAAAAAACCCGGGAGCCGCAAAACCATTGTGACATTTAAAACAAATAGAACACTGCATATATTGTTTCTTACCTTAATGCTATATACCGGATTGTGCAGTTAGCTGTCAATCTGAAGAAAAAAAGGACTTTTTCACTTAACAATGTAAAATGTATTTTTGCAAATTAATAGCTAATTAAAATATTTAATTTACCTGGTTAATGGGATTTTTGCTCCTGAACCTCAGTGCACAGTGTCAGCACATCAGGGCTGTAAGACGTTGCCTTCATTTTCATACAGGCTTGCAAGTTGTCGGAGCCGCGGTAAAGCTTCAAAAGAGCCGCATGCGGCTCTGGAGCCGTAGGTTGCCGACACCTGACCTAGACATAACTGCTTTAACATTCGGTTTCTATCTTTCTGGACCTCGTTGTACGAATGTATATGTTTGTATACTCATATGCGCAACCGAGAGAGAATACAAGTAACATTTTTAAGGTGTTATCAGACCAGATATCATGGAATAACCTCATTTTTTACTTACCATCTAACATGAATGTTTTCTAAGTCAGACGCCTGTGTCACCATTCATAAGTGTGTTCCAATGAATTAACCTATCAGCCTGTCTGCTGTCGATGGCCATTTCGGTTGTGTGGAATTTTTCATCATAAACAGCACAGTAATGAACACCCGGCCATGGATAACGGAACACTCCAAAGCCTTCGTGCCATTGTACTGCTGGCCCTCTGACTTGGTGCCGTTTTTCCACGTGGCCTGGTGCCCCCTGTCCTGGGAGGCACCAGGCCACGTGGGTGTCCCAAGCTTTCTCTTTGCCTCAAGCAGCCAGTTGGTCTTTTCCTTGCTCCCAGGCCGTTCCACACACGCCTTGTTCTAACGCCTGTTACAGAAAAGTGGTCGGTGGCTGTGTCCCGGCCAGACCGCGAGCCTGTGTGAGCCAGGGCCTGGCACACGGCAGGCGCGTCATACCTGTAGGAACTTGAGTGACAAGGTAGTGTCTGGGCTCTCCTGCCTCGGCTGTTTGATTCCAAAAGTAAGATTCTTTCTTTGGTCTTGGGCAGCCAAGGATGTGATTAAAGAGATTGAAGACTTCGATGGCTTAGAGGCTCTGCGGCTGGAGGGCAACACGGTGGGCGTGGAGGCCGCCCGGGTGATCGCCAAGGCCTTGGAGAAGAAGTCGGAGTTGAAGGTGAGCCCCGCAGAGGACAAGCTCCCCAAGGGGAGCAGCTGGGGATGAGCTTCCACTCACAGGCCCACGGCCAGCTCCCGCCTCTGGCTCCCCGGCCAGGGCCCTGCCCCTGCCTGCTGTGTTCATTCGGGTCCTCCAGGGGCGACACGGAGAATGTATTGGGAGTGCAGCGGGGTTTGTTGGGCCACACGTGTGAAGATAAAGGGGAGGAGCAGAGCTGGACACCTGCACGGCAGCTCTGGCGCCTGTGAGGAGGGAAGGGCAGAAAGGAGAGAACCTCCCTGCTTTCACAAACGCTCAGCTGCTCCACACAAAGGCTGCCCTGCCCTCCCCGCAGAGGAGAAATGGCCCGGCCTTAGCTTGGATGCCGGCTGCCTGCCCTCCTCACAGCTGATTGGCAGCCTCTCATGGGCTAGATCCAAGGGGACCCTCCTAGTGCGTCCCAAAGTGGGTGCCGCTGGACGCCAGTACTTCAAGGTGCTCTTCGGGGAAAGTGGGTTACCGCGTTCCAATCACCGGAAGATGCCGCGTGCTCGTTTGCCGGGACCGGCATGTGTGAGTGTAGCAAAGCCCCCAGAGTCCGGGGGAAAGGCCCTGCTGTGCAGGCGGAACAGCTCTTGGTTCATACACGGCTGGGCTCGGGCTGGCCTCCGCTGCTCGGTCACTGAGCCCTCACAGCCACCAGGTAATAAAGAGTGTCCACTCCGTAAGGCCAGGGAACGGAGGCTCCGGGCTAATGGCCGGATTCCTCCTGCTGCTGAATGCAGTTCGCACTCCTGCGCCCATGCTCCTCCCTGAGCTTGGGGGGAGGAGGGCATGAGGGCTGGGGCCAGAGAGAAGCGGAGGGCATGAGGGCTGGGCTGGTTTATGAAGGGCCCTGGTGCTTGTTTGCTCAGAAAGGTCACGGCCAGGTGAGCAGCCAGGCAGTGCTTGTGTCTGCTCTCCTGCCCGGGAGGCCCTTGAGCAGAAGCCAGACATTTTCCTGCAGAAGAGTTTAGCCCTTCCGGTGGCCGGTGGCTGGTCAGGAAGGGAACGGAGCAGATGCAGCCTGGGCCTGGGCCTGGAGGCTCTGCAGGAGCTGAGCTTTGGCACCAAGGGCCTGGCTTCAAGCCCCAGCACCACCTCCTTGCTGGACGTGGCCTTGCACTAAGCTCAGTGAGCTTGGCTCCTCCCGGAGAGGTGTGATGGCCAGGGGCAGGCTCGTGTCATGGGAGCTGGGCCAGGGGCAGCGCTGCGTGCGTCCTGTCCCTGTGCAGCCCAGAGCCTGAGCCACCCGCCCGGCACGCGGGCCTGCTTCTGCAGGAGGGAGCCCGGGCTGCAGCAGGGGCGGGAGACCCACTGCCCTTGATGGCCATTGTGCTCTGGCACATGCTGATGGAGATGTTCTCTCCCGTGTGACGTGTACAAGTTAGGCCGTGACCGAGGAGAAGAGTGTGGCCCACAGTTACACGTTTAGGGATTGGAGCCCAGAGGTTAGCCCAGCCCCCTAACTGCTCTGCTGCCACCTGAAGCCTTTTTCGAAGTCAGAGATGGGGATTGTGGGGCCTGGGCTCTGATCCTGGGGTCCGTTAAGTCAGAATCAGAACCATGCCTCAGCGTTGCCAGGTGTGGTCAGGAAAGGCCGGAATGCTAGTGATATTTTACATGGACGCAGCGGCCAGAGTGGGCGGGGAGGGTGTGCCCATGCATGGCGACTAAACTGCTGGCCAGCAGAAGACCGGTGCTGTGGCCACCACTTCTGTGCCACCTGCCTCGTATTTCCTCGAAATCAGCTCACTGAAGTAATTGAAAAGCACACCTGGTCCCTCCTGTAAATGGGGCGTGTTATCCTGTCTGGGACACTTCACACACACAATCCACAGGTGTCCCAACCCACAAGGCCACCCAGAGGCCCTGAGCCCGAGGGTGCTCCTTTGCTCAGAAGGCAGACGAGTGGGACATGGGGAGGTGGGCAAGACCCGCCAGCCTCCAGGTGAGCTGCCTCCTGAGGGGCAGGAGGGCGAAAAGAGACTCAAAAGGAGGAACTTCCTTGTGCTGCCCCCCCCCCCCCCCCCCCCCCGGTGTTAACTTTCCTGTTCCTGCACCACCCGGTCACGCTCCACGGCGCCGCCCCAGCCCGTGTGGGAGAGTGATTGGAAGGAGCACCTGGCTGGCCTGGGCCTGGTCCTGGTCCTGCCACCGCCCTGCCAGGGGCCCAGAGCTTCTCCTTTCTCTCACCCTGATGGGGCCCCCCTCCTCCCCCAGAAGCCACAGGGCTGGACAGATCGGGGTTTTCCTAAGCTTTCTGCTGAGCTCCCATGGCCCTTGCGGGTCTCCTGGTCCCACCAGCTTTGGCCAGAGCTGGTCCAGCTTTCCGCTGACAAAGCCCAAATGAAGAAGTCCGTAGTGCTGGGTAGTGTAAGTCCACGAGGTGAGGTCTCGGCTAACTCTTCTTCCTCCTCCTTCCTTCTTCCTCCAAAGCGGTGCCACTGGAGCGACATGTTCACGGGGCGGCTGCGGTCTGAGATCCCACCAGCCCTGGTAAGTGAACAGCTGAGGCATCCCTCCCCTCCGGCCATTCCCAGGCCTTTCCCCTCCGGCACAGGCCCCTCTGGCCATCCCAGACCTCTCCCCTCTGCCTCAGGCCCCCTGGCTCTGCTCATGCTTTTACTGCTGCCTGGAATCTCGCGTTTGATTGGCTGATTCTCATCCAGACTGAGTTCACATGTTACCTTCTCCAGGGAGCCTTCCCTGACCACATGACATGCACCAAGCCCCGCTCCCCAGCAGAATCGGGAGCCCTCTGCCGGCTCTCACCAGCCTGAGTGCCCCTGGCAGCACCTGGTAGGACTCTGCCATGAGCTCCCTCTGTGCCCAGATCTCACTAGGGGAGGGACTCATCACCGCCGGGGCCCAGCTGGTGGAGTTGGACCTAAGCGACAACGCCTTCGGGCCTGACGGCGTGCGAGGCTTCGAGGCCCTGCTGAAGAGTTCCGCCTGCTTCACCCTGCACGAGCTCAAGCTCAACAACTGCGGCATGGGCATCGGTGGTGGCAAGGTGGGTGCAGGGGCCCCTTCATGTCCCTCTGCTCTTCACACCCCCTCCCTGCCCAGTCCCCTACTGCACTTGCCTCCACCTGCAGTGTGTGCCCTGGCCACCCACCCTCTGGGTTTGGCCTGTTTTTCTCTTCAAAGGAGAAAGGCCTTAAAGGCGGCAGCCTGTGGCCAGTGGGAGAGGAGATGGAGTTCGTGAGGGTGGGGTTGCCAAGCAACCATCCCAATTCTTGTGTTGCTTGGCAACACATGCAGTATTGGATATGTGCTCCGACTTGCTGGTTCTGCAAAACGCAGGGCGTTGGGTGTCCTGGGCCTGCTGTGCCTCAGAACAGTTGGCAGAGCCTTGTGAGCCTGGCTGTGCATGTGGGGCAGGAGCCCAGAAAGAGACGGCGCAGCTCGCCCTTGTTCCTGGGGCCCGGTGCTCCCCATCCCGCGGGTCAGTGTAGAAAGGCTCCTCTCTTCTCCTGGAGCCGGCTCAGAGGGAGGAGGCTGTTTGTCTCCTCTGGCTCCTTAGGCTAAGTGCCTCCCTCACGTTCGGACCTAAAGTAGAACAGGGCTGGGGTGCAGGAACTGACCGCGGCCGGGACCCCTTCCCTTTGAGGATGTGTTATGTGCATAACCTTAACTCTCCTACCACAGTGCTGGGTAGCTGATGCTGTCCCATCTTCTCAGATGCGTACGCCTGGGCTTAGAGATCTTGGGTCGAGGGCAGGGGATAATGTGGGATTGAATGCTCATCCTCGTGGCCCTGTCAGAGCAGCAGGAAGAACCGTGTGATGCCTGCAGGGCTCCAGGCTGATAGGTCCTGAGGAGCCAGAGCGGCCTCCCCTGCAGAGAGTGCCTGTTGCCCTGCCCCCTGGGAGGGAGAGCGAGGGCCACGCTCCCCTGCTGTCCCAGGCCAGCTCCCCCTCCCCCCCAGCCTGATTGGGAAGAAGCTTGGGGTGCGTTACAACCTAAATAGACTTGAGTCAGCACAGAAATCAGGCCCAACCCTGCCGAGAGTGTGAGGTATTGGGGGAGCCAGACTCATCCATGTAAAATGCTTCCATTTTCCACCCCTCACCTCACTCTGCTCAGGAACAGAGGCTGAGAAGCTGCTCTAGGCACCACCCCAAGGACAGGAGAGACTGGGGTTCGGTTTTTGCTCCCAGCAGCGGAGACCCTGCTTTGTGTGGCTGCCTGGACACTGCATGCCTCTGACGGGCTCAGTGGGGCCGTGTCTCCTTGGCCTGCTCCCCTTAGATCTCGGGGAGCATGGAAGAGACACTGGAAGGTTGGGTCCTGGCCTACCAACCACAGGAACGTTTCTGCCCTTCCCTGAGCCTGAGTAGCTTCCTGGAAAGGGCCTGCTGACGGCCCCCGCCTGAGAGAGGGCTGTGACAGGAAAGTGGGTTAATTGTGAACTCCATCCCCGGCCCTGGCTTCAGGTTGGCCACTTGGTATTGGTCTCTCTCTCCCTCTGGGCCTTGGTCTCCCATCTCTATCATGAGGCTAACCCTCAGGGTGGTGGGACCGCACATGAAGCAGTAGATGTAAAAGCTCTTTGTAAGTTATAGGTGCTGGGCACATGGGAGAGGTGACCCTTCAGTGTTTGAGCTTTTTAGAACATTTTGAGAGACAGAGAGAATTGATTTGTTCCACTTATTTATACATTCATTGGTTGTCTCTTGAATGTGCCCCGACCGGGGATTGACCCGCAAACCTTGGTGTTTTGGGATGATGCTCCAACCAACTGAGCTGCCCGGCCAGGGCTTGAGCAGTTCTTTGTCCCTGTACCCACCACTAGTGGGTGGCATGGACATTGAAGACCCACTCAGTGGCATTGCTGCCCTACTGGGAGAAGCCTCCTGCCTAGGCCTGGGCCTCTTGCCTTTCCCGCACAGATCCTGGCGGCAGCTCTGACTGAGTGTTACCGGAAGTCCAGTGCCCAGGGCAAGCCGTTGGCCCTGAAGGTCTTCGTGGCTGGCAGGAACCGTCTCGAGAACGACGGAGCCACTGCCTTGGCAGAAGCTTTTGGGGTGAGTGGGTTCTGCCTTGGCAGAAGCTTTTGGGGTGAGTGGGTCCTGGGAGTGCTCCCAGCTCTGGGGCAGAGTTGACACCTAAGCAAGCCACTTCCTCTGGGACTCTGGCACAGAGGGAGAGCACCAGACTGTGCTGGGGACCAGGAAACCTGCCTAGGGAGGAGGCATAGAACAAGAGCTGTAGAATGCATAATGGTCAGCCTACCAAGAAAATACCAACTTCCCGAGACCGGTTTGGCTCAATGGATAGAGCGTCGGCTTGGGGACTGAAGGGACCCGGGTTCAGTTCCGGTCAAGGGCATGTACCTTGGTTGTGGGCATATCCCCAGTAGGGGGTGTGCAAGAGGCAGCTGATCGATGACTCTCATCGATGTTTCTAGCTTTCTATATTTCTCCCTTTCTCTCTGTACAAAATCAATAAAATATATATTTTTTTAAAAAGGAAATACCAACTGATAAGGAGACAGCATGTTCTGGCAGGGAGAATGGAGTGTCAAAAGGTTGGTTACACAGAGTGCATTAGGGGAGCTCCTCCTGACCCCAAAGAGAAGTGGCACGTGGCATATAAGTATGCCCTGGGCAGGAGGGCCCGGGAAAGAGAGGCCAGTGAGCTGCAGGAGGCCAGAAGGGCATGGCTGACTGCCGAGCCAGGGTCCAAGGTTCTCACAGTGGAGGACATCTTACCAAGAAACCTGTGTTAGAGCTGTGTGACCCTGGGCAAGTCACTCGCCTCTGACCCCTGTCTTCTCTGCTTGCGGTGCTCCTGATCCCGGGTAGGTCTCCCTCATGAGCTTGTGGAGAGGCTCAGTGCAGCCACGTCCAAAAGCATGCTGTGAGGTCTGATCTGCCCAGAACGTTCCCAGCAGCTCCTCCCCATGTCTGCAGTGCGGCCTCCCGCCTGCTGGTGTCACTGGCATGGGCCTGCAGCTGGCGCTCAGGGGCCCACCTCTCCGCCCTCTCCTTCCTGCCCTCGAAGGTCATAGGGACTCTGGAGGAGGTCCACATGCCCCAGAATGGGATCAACCACCCCGGCATCACCGCCCTGGCCCAGGCTCTCGCCATCAACCCCCTGCTGCGGGTCATCAACCTGAACGACAACACCTTCACGGAGAAGGGCGCCGTGGCCATGGCCAAGGTGAGGCGGGCGCACGGCGTGACGGCGGCTCGGGCCCGGGTGAGCCTGGCCCTCACCTGGCCCTCCTTCCTCCCGCAGACCCTGAAGACCCTGCGGCAGGTGGAGGTGATCAACTTCGGGGACTGCCTGGTGCGCTCCAAGGGCGCCGTGGCCATTGCAGATGCCGTGCGCGGGGGCCTGCCCAAGCTGAAGGTGCCGCCGGGGCCGGGTCCCCCACTTGGCAGCGGGTGGCAGAGGGTCTGGAACGTAGACCGGGGTTCTTCTGCATCCTCCCTGTGCCGTTGTGCCAGTGCCTTCTCCCCTTTGGGCCGGTTTCTTCTTTAAAAACAAACCAACAGCCAAAACCGGTTTGGCTCAGTGGTAGAGCATCGGTCTGTGGACTGAAAGGTCCTGGGTTCGATTCCGGTCAAGGGCATGTACATTGGTTGTGGGCACATCCCCAGCGGGGGATGTGTAGGAGGCGGCTGGTCAATGTTTCTTTCTCGTCAATGTTCCTGGCTCCCCATCTCTCTCCTCTCTGTAAAAAATCAATAAAATATATTTTAAAAAAACAAAACAAAACAAATGAACAAAACCCAACATTTTTATTGCGTTCAGAGAGGAAGGGAGAGGGAGAGACAGAAACATTCCTAATGAGAGTGAGTCATCGATCGGCTGCCTCCTGCATATCCTACTGGCCTGTGCCCTGACCGGGAATCAAACCATGACCACCTGGTTCATCGGTCAACTCTCAACCATTGAGCCACGCCTGCTGGGCAGTTTCTTAATTGTTAAAATGGGGTCGTAGTTGACTGTATATAAACATCCTCGGTGCCTGGCACATCCCTGGGTATGTGGCATTTCTGTTGGTGGCATTCTGGCCATCTGAGGACAGAACCTCCCCTCCCCCCCTGGGGAAGTGGAGGCTTCCGATGGGACCTGGTCCTCTGGCCCACGTTTCTGCTGGCCACTACCCCTTCCTCCTATTTTTAGGAGCTAAACTTGTCGTTCTGTGAAATCAAGAGAGATGCTGCTCTGTCTGTGGCCGAGGCTGTGGCAGACAAGGCTGAGCTGGAGAAACTGGACCTCAATGGTAAGTAGCGGCGGTGGCCTCAGCACGGGCCTGCTGGTGGGTCTGAACCTGACCCTGGTTTCCTCTCCCTTCTCCTGAGCAGGCAACGCCCTGGGGGAAGAAGGCTGTGAGCAGCTCCAGGAGGTTCTGGACAGCTTCCACATGGCCCAGGTGCTGGCGTCCCTCAGGTGAGCTTTGGGCGCTTAGGAACTCGTTCATTTTATTCATTTCATAAGCGTTGGCGGAGGCTCTGTAGGTACCAGGCGCCGTGCTCAGCATTAGGGATGTGAAAATACAGCAGTGAAGGGGCCACTTCATCCTAGTGGGGCAGGGGGTCCAGTCACGGTGTTATTGCACGCTCAGCAGAGGGAGAAGCAGGGCTGGGGAATGTCCCTCTAGAGCAGGGAGCTGGGAGAGGCGGCAGGGATGGCGGCTGGTCTGATCTCACGGATAAGGCAGGGCAGCCGCAGAGCCGTGGTGGCGGTGGGGCTGGGCTCCACATTGCGCAGAGACTGACTAGAAAGGGCGGGACCGAAGCAGGAGGGTGGGGTTCTGGGTTTGCAGAGCCCACTGGAGTCCTGTGGGGGAGGGGAAGGGGGAGCGGGCGGCCTCCTCCAGTAGATGGCACCCTCTCCCTCTGCCCTGTAACCTCCGAGTTGGCGTCATCCTCAGTCGCTGCTAGAGGTGTGCTGCAGTGGGGACTCGATGGGCTCGGGGTCCAGGGAAACAGAACAGCTGTCCTCGCCCCCCAGCTGGGGCTTCCTACGGTCAGCAAGATACTAGGTGGCACGTCTACGGCCATACCACCCTGAACGCGCCCGATCTCCTCTGATCTCGGAAGCTAAGCAGGGTCGGGCCAGGTTAGTACTTGGATGGGAGATAAGAGGTGGCACGGCCCTGGGCATCTCAGCCTGGGCAGTGTTCCTGCCAGGCCCTGGGCCCCTGAGACAGTTCTTCCTTTCCTGTGTACCTGTGGGTCTGGGGGCCTCTCGACAGGGACGAGATGTGACTCTCAGCATGGGCTTCCCTGGGGCTGAGCTATGAGTGACCGGCTCCGCCCTGAGCAGCTGCCCAGCTGGGTCTGTGGTTCAGAGCCAGGCCTCAGAGCCAACATGGGCCATGGGCTGGAAGGGTCTCCTTAGCCAACTCCCCTCTGCAGTGATGATGAAGGTGAAGATGAGGATGAGGAGGAGGAGGAAGAAGAGGAAGGAGAAGAAGAGGAGGAGGAGGACGATGAAGAGGAGGAGGAAGAAGAGGAGGAGGAGGAGGAGGAGCCGCAGCAGGGAGGGCAAGGAGAGGAGTCATCCACCCCGTCAAGGAAGATTCTGGACCCCAACAGTGGGGTGAGTTCCTGCTCCCTCATAGTTCCCAATAAAGCTTCTGGGGGACTCGGGGTTGGACAAGGATCCCTGCTCTTGTGAACTTGGCGTTCCTGGTTTTAGGGGAGCATTTCAGCCAGCGCTCGGCAGTTAGTTTTTCTCTGGGCACACTGGTGCTCCTGGCAGTGCTTATTCGGGCAGGCTCCGTCTGGTTCTGGTGGGCCCATGTTAGGGCCACCTGCCTCCCGAGTCATTTCTGGGCCATGTCATGTCATGTCATGTCATGGCTAGGACCCACTTGGTCTTGAAAGGCCCTTGGGATCCGAGGGAGGTGGTTTGTCCCCAGCTCAGAGGCGGGAGTGCTGGGAGCCGTGTCTGGCTCTGCCCTTTGGGGACGTGCACATGAGTGGTTCCGGGTGAGGAGTCTGGGTTCAGACCTCACAGCGCTGCTGTGCCCCCCCCAGGACCCGGCTCCCGTGCTGTCCTCCCCGCCGCCCGCCGACGTCTCCACCTTCCTGGCCTTCCCCTCCCCCGAGAAGCTGCTGCGCCTGGGGCCCAAGAGCTCCGTGCTGATAGCCCAGCAGGTGAGCGAGCTGGGCACGAGCTGGAGGGGGACAGCGGGAAGGGGCTGCAGGGCTCCTTGACGGAGCGTGTGAACGGTGGCGCTGTTATAGGCAGGAGGCAGGATGCCGCACTTCAGACGACTGGAATTAAGGGGTGTATTCTCTCGCACACACCCGGCCCTAGGCTTCCTTCTGCATGTTCTGTAGGACCAGCTGCTTCTAGAACAATCTGCTGCCCAGGACTTCTGTGGCCATCCATCTCATGTGTATTGCTGGCAGGCTGCCCTTGCTCTGGCCTCACTTGCTGGCTGGTTAGTGGGTTCCCTCATTCATTCTGAGGTGATTATCAAGCACCTCCTGTCCGCCATGCACTGCTCTGGTACCTGGGCACGGTTTATTTAACGCTCTTGGCGACTAGAAATGGAGACCTGTTACTCTCTCTGTTCAGATGAGAAAAACTGAGGCCCAAAGAGGGCGAGTGATAAATACCGGAAAGGGGGCTCACTCGCTCCAGCTGGTCTGGGACCAGGCCAAAACCAGTTTGGCTCAGTGGATAGAGCATGGGCCTGCGGACTGAAGGGTCCTGGGTTTGATTCTGGTCAAGGGAACATGCCCCAGGAGGGGGTGCAGGAGGCAGCCGGTCAGTGATTCTTTCTCATTGATGTTTCTATCTCTCTCCCTTCCTCTGAAATCAATGAGAAAAAAAAAAAAAAAAATATATATATATATATATATATATATATATATATATGTATATATATATATTTTAAATATATATTTTATTGATTTTTCACAGAGAGGAAGGGAGAGAGATAGAGAGCTAGAAATGTCGATGAGAGAGAAACATCGACCAGCTGCCTCCTGCACACCCCCTACTGGGGATGTGCCTGCAACCAACGTACATGGCCCTGACCAGAATCAAACCTGGGACCTTTCAGTCGGCAGACTGAAGCTCTACCACTGAGCCAAACCGGTTTCGCCGAAAATATATATTTTTTAAATGGTCTGGCTCACACCTGGCTTGGCTGATTTTCTTGTTTTACTGTTTTTGTTTTGTTTGTTCATAAGTGAGATTATATAACGTGTTCACCGTTTTCCTGTCAGAAAAACGCTCCTGTGCCCTTTGCCAGCGAGCAGATGGGGCAGTGAGGCAGGCCCTAGTTCTGGGCGTTTGCCTGTTTCTGCTTTTCTCTTCCGTAAAGTTGAGGTCACTTGGTTGCATGGGCATGTTGTCTGCCCGGGGATTGTCAGGTTAGACCATGAGAAGGGGTCAGTCACAGGTGATGATGGCTGCGTCACACCCTGCCTGGCCACCTGCCTGGGCCCGGTCCACGCCGGCTCTGCGAGGACCGTGTGGGCCAGGCAGGACCGGGGCTCCGGCCCCTCCTGACCAGCCTCTGTCTCTGTGTCCTCAGACTGACACCTCTGACCCAGAGAAGGTGGTCTCCGCCTTCCTGAAGGTGTCCTCTGTGTTCAAGGACGAAGCCGCCGTGAGGGCCGCGGTACAGGACGCAGTAGGTAACGTGGGTGAGGGACTGGGTGGCTCCTGCCTCTTCCTGCTCCAGGCAGGAGGTTTCTGGTTACTGGGACCCCCTCCAGCACCAGCTGCTCTCGGCCCCTCCCACCTCTTCCTCTTGGCTCCTCGCTGGAGGCGCCTCTCTGGTTTGTAAATGAGAGGCAGAGGCCTGTGCCAGGTTGGCTCAGCTCTGTGCGTTTAGGGCTCAGGCCGGGACAGCCGCCCCGGAGGCCAGCTGGCCACAGCCCAGGGCCCGGAGGCACTGCTCTCGGAGGAGGGGCCTTTGCACACACGTCCTCTCCACCTGAAGGTTCCCTGCCCCCTTCATATCTGTTAGTCTTTCCGGGACCTCGGTTCCCCTCCCCCGAGCCTGGTCATGAGTTCCCCTCTCCCACCTGGTTCTGTTACCTCCAACCTCCCACCTGTCAACGTGTCTGGGTGGTCCAGGTCCTGGCGAGGGCACAGCACGGGAAAGGGCAGCACGGAGGCGCGAGGGTCATGGAGCAGTCAGGCTGGGTGGGTGGGTGAGAGCCGGGGGGGAGTCTGCAGGTTTCCTCCCTGGGAGCCCAGCCCGTGGGTGAGGACAGGTTACCCACGAGGTTTCCCTGAGCACCCAGCACAGACGCGAGTGGCCACAGCAGTCTCCGCAGTCCTCGGCCACTCGCGTCCCATCTCCCTGTCCATCTCCCTCCACAAAGTGCTGAACCCTTACCTCACCTCCACCCCAGCTGTGCGGGGTCCTCGAGCCCATTTCACGTGGGGGCCGGGACAGGAGTGGCCACGGGTCACAGCCGGCTGCCCCTCGCAGGGCTGGCTGAAGGAGGGCTGACGCCTGGGCCCGCGGCCAGGCCTTTGCTTCCGTGGGCGCTCTGCCCACGCTGCTTTGCCTTGCAGACGCCCTGATGAAGAAGGCCTTCAGCTCCTCCTCCTTCAACCCCAACATCTTCCTCACCAGGCTCCTCATCCACATGGGCCTGCTCAAGGTGCGCTGGGGGGGGGGGAGTCTGCCCAAGGTGCGCTGGGGGGGATCTGCCCAAGGTGCGCTGGGGGGGGGGTTTGCGCAAGGTGCGCTGGGAGGGGGGGGTCTGCGCAAGGTGCGCTGGGGGGGGGTTTCTGCCCAAGGTGCGCTGGAGAGGGGGTGGTGATGGGGGTGCACCAGCAGGTGCACCAGCAGGTGTTCTGGCCATGCTCCACGCCCCGTCCCACAGGAGTCCCGCAGGGCCTGCCACCCACACCGTCCCGGGCTTGGCTCTGCTTCGGCACCTTGGCCGGGGGGCTTTCTGAGCAGGGACTGGATGGTGGAGACCCTGGGCCCCCAGGGACCTCAAAGCTCACCTGCTGCTCCGTATGCTTCCCTTACAGAGTGAAGACAAGGTCAAGGCCATTGCCAACCTGTATGGACCCCTGATGGCACTGAACCACATGGTGCAACAGGACTACTTCCCCAAGGCCCTCGCTCCCCTGCTGCAGGCATTCATGACCAAGTGAGTGTCCAGGCGGCGTGCTCCGCCAAAGCTTCCCTCAGCTTGTGGGGCCTCGTGCCTCCGGCTCTTGGCGTCCACGTTTGGGTGTCGCTTCTCCTGAGTGACCTCTGCTCCTGAGGCGGCCTCCCTGGGCCCAGCTGAGGACACAGGGCTCGGGGACAAAGCCTCTCCTTGGAGAGACCAGGACGTAGCACCCCGTTTTCCAGAGGGGAACCCGGTCAGTCAGGAGCGTGCCACAGCAGCCGAGGCCACGGGCCTGGTCACGCTGGGGCGGGTGGGTGCTGGCCAGTCAAGGAATGGAGAGCCTCCGAGTCCTGTTGGGGCCACTATGAATGGGGGGGTGTGTGTCCCCTGTCCTCACGAGGCCTCATGCCTCAGTCTCCCCTTATGACCAACCAAGGTTGTCTCCGAGGGCTCTGACCGGCCACACGGCAATGAGTGCAGTGCCTCGGGGGAAGGGACGGAGGGGTGGGATGGGGGCCACCCCCACCGCGTGTGCATCTCCTTTGAAAAGTCACCACGAACTGAATCCGGTATTTGGGGTCCTGGGTGGGACTGAATGAGATGAGGCTGGAGAGGTAAGCCCAGCTTATTCTAGTATCAGGGCCTTGAAGTCTGAAGCAGCGTGGCATCAAGCAAGGATCTTAGAAAAGCAGGGACCCCAGCAGATACGCCCACTGGCTGCAGTGGAGAGGGGCTGGGGGACTGAGGAGATGGCACCTGGCAGGCACACTGCTCTCTGCGGGGGAGCGGGCCCGGGCCGGGCCACGGCTGCCTGAGCGCTGCCTGAGCTCAAGGACGGCGGGCAGGGGCGGTGGGCTGAGTGCACACGGTCAGCACGCCGAGGCGGCTCAGGAACACAGCTCCGCAGACTCAGGCAAAGTACATCGATAGCTCCACACATTTCACTCGTCTCAGTAAGTGGATATTGAAAGGATAATACTTGGCATCCACTGGGCTAAAGAAAACATATGATGAACATTGAATGTAAAAAAGGCACGTGAAATTGGAAGAGTGGAGCCGGGCTCATTTCTAGCCGCAGAAATGGCCCACGCTCTGCCGCCACCTGAGCTCCCGACCCACAGTGCCTCTCCCCGCAGGCCCAACGGCGCCCTGGAGGCCTGCTCCTTCGCCCGCCACAACCTGCTGCAGACGCTGTACAAGGTCTGACGGACACAGCGGCCGCCTCGCCCTCAGCCTGGCCAGGGCCTGGGGAAGGGACTCTGATGGAGGGCTCTGGCAGAGGCAGGGCGGGTCTCGTTGCGTGTGTCATGCTGGTCCCGAGAATGTGTGTCGTGGTGTGCGTGCCAGTGTGTGCTTCCTGTCGGGTTGGGTTTGAACATCTCCTGCTGGGCTGGCCCTGGTCCGCTGGAGGGGAGCTGGCCCCGGAGAAAGGGCTGCGAGCTGCGAGCTGCGAGCTGCACTGCCATTAAAGTCACCGCCATCTGAGGGCGCTCTGCTGGTCTGTGCCCAGGCTCAGGGCCTGTGGCTCTTCCCACCACTTTGCCTTCCTCATCCTCAGGCCGCACCCCAGCCTGGGGAGCTGCTTCCCACGCGCTGTCCCTCCCTCTGGGCTGGGACTGCATTTCTCATTCTCACTGCCGGGCCTCCGCTTCCCGTCACCAGCCCTGCCCTGCAGCCCCCGCAGGCCCCACCGTCCATCCCTGCTGTGCCGCCCTCCCACGGAGGCAGAGGCGGCCACGGGTGAGCCCGGGGTGGTCAGCAGAGGGCCAGGCCCCGGTGCGTGCCCTGTGGGCAGAGGGTCCTGGAGTAGGAGATCCCGCCGGCGCTGGCTCTGGGCCAGGAGATGTCAGTGCCTGGCCCGGAGGGGCACCTGGCAGGCACACTGCTCTCCTGCCTGAGCACTGACAGCTCCTCAAGGACGGCGGGCAGGGCTGGACTGGCCAGCGGTGCCCCTCGGCGTCCCGTTCCCTTCGTGCTCTGTCCGGGCTGTGCCTGAGGCTTCATAATAAAGTCATGTGACAACCGTGGAGACTGAGGCTCTTCCCCCAGCGGCATTCGGGGCCTGAGCACCTGGCGCCCCCCTCAGTCTGAGGGGCAGTCATTCCTGCCGAGGAGTCCCCTTGCCAGCCTCCGCCACCACCAGGACAGCTCTCCCACCGGGGCCCGGTGCGTCCTGTGGGCACGCCAGCGCCCGACAGCCGAGGGAGGTGCCGAGGACCGGGCTCCCCCTCGGCCTGTTTCACCTGCTGGGCTCCGTGCCACCCTCCCCCTCTGAGCACAGCACCCCCTGTCCGTGCCACCCTCTGAGCACAGCGCCCCCTGTCCATGCCACCCTCCCCCTCTGAGCACAGCGCCCCCTGTCCATGCCACCCTCCCCTCTGAGCACAGCACCCCCTGTCCGTGCCACCCTCCCCTCTGAGCACAGCGCCCCCTGTCCGTGCCACCCTCCCCTCTGAGCACAGCGCCCCCTGTCCGTGCCACCCTCCCCTCTGAGCACAGCGCCCTGGTCCATGCCACCCTCTGAGCACAGCACCCCCTGTCCATGCCACCCTCCCCCTCTGAGCACAGCGCCCCCGGTCCGTGCCACCCTCCCCTCTGAGCACAGCGCCCTGGTCCATGCCACCCTCCCCCTCTGAGCACAGCACCCCCGGTCCATGCCACCCTCTGAGCACAGTGCCCCCTGTCCATGCCACCCTCCCCCTCTGAGCACAGCGCCCCCGGTCCATGCCACCCTCCCCTCTGAGCACAGTGTCCGGACCCGGCGTGGCTCCATCTGTGGGTCTGGCGGGCTGGACAGTGCCATTCACCAGGACCTCCTGGGGCTGACCAGCGGGGTCAGTTGACGGGGTCGGGCCTGGGGGGGAGCCCGGGAAGGCTGTTCGGCTTGGGGCCTGGGATAGAGGACAGCTCCCTGGATGGAGGTCTTTCCTGCTGTTGCCCCGTGGGGGAAGGGCAGGCCCGCAGGCCCCCCTCACCTCACACCCGAGCGCGGGCATTCCTGCGTGTCCACTGGGTGAAGAGGTCGCTAAGATCTCTGAGGGGCACACTTTCCTGCTGGCCATGGGCCACTGAGTGACCTTTGCCAGCTGGAGGGGAGCAGAGCAAGACCTCTGCCTCGGGCGCTGGGCGCTCGGCTCTGGAGCTGCCGGCTGCCCCGGGGAGTGCCCGGCCCGAGCAGACCGGCAGAGTGGCCTCCGTGGGGCCTGGCCGGGAGGGCAGCGAAGCGCCAGCGTCAGGGTGCAGGAACTGAGTCTTGAGGTTCAAACAGGACTTCCCAAGGCGACATTGCAGGCGGAGAAACGGGCGTGAGGCTGAGTAGGGGCCTGTCCGAGGGTCCATGGCCTGGCTGGCCCTTCCTCAGTCCCAAGAGTGCCGGCTCTGACTGCCAGCCCCTCAGACCAGCTCAGCGGTGGGAAAGCTGCAGCTTTGGGGCTGCCCCAGGCTCCATGCTCCCAGCTCCGGCCCTGAGGGCAGAGGCCCCAAGCACTGTGATGGGGTCTGAGGTCTCACGCTCTGGCCTGGGAGCCCCCGTGGGACGCGCCTGCTCAGCACCAGGCTGTCCCCACTGAAGGGAACAGCCTCTGGCTCGGGCGAACCAATTCCCTCTGAACCTCGGGCTGGGGAAGCCCGGGAAGTGGGGTCAAGGGTGCCGCTGGCAGCACATCCCCATGGCGGGAGCGGGGAGCAGGGAATGGCTCGGAGGCGGTGTGGGCCAGGGGGAGCGGCCCGGTGAGAAGCGGCAGCGGGCAGGAGCATCCACGCACGCCACAGTGAGGCCGTGCAGCAACGCGTGAAGGAGGCCTCAGCGATCCGTCAGCGAGTTCACGCGTTCAGGCGCCTGTGTATGTGGCGGTGCTATTGCCAGTGAAAGGGGCGCTGAGCCCGGCTCACGAGAGGGCTGAGTTTGGGACAGGCAGCGGCCGGGTGGGGTGGGAGCACCAGGCCCACCCACCTGAGAGCCAGAGTCTTCAAACGGAAATAGGACACACGGGAGCATGTGTTCTGGTCACAGAAAAAGCTTAAAACATGGGGCCTCTGCCTCCGTGATGGAAAAGACCGTGCAAGTGAAGACAAGGTGAGAGGGAAAGACGTGGCACACGTGGAGCACAGAACAAGGCCTGGTGCTGAGAGCACCGTGCTGTGGAGGACTTGCAGGGGGAATGCTGCAGGCGCTGTAAGAATGGAAAGGTACAAGTTAAAAAGCAGCAGCACGGCGAGTCCCGCCGACTGGATGTGAGTGAATGAACAGCCGCGGGGGGGGGGGGGGGGGGGGGTGCGCTGTGACCCGGTGGATGGGGGCTGCTGAGTGAACTTCACGCAGAGGTTGTGTGTGATGCGGCACTATTTCTACTTTAAAAAGGAACAAAGGCTTAGCTGGTGCGGCTCAGTGGTTGTGCACTGACTGACGAGCCAGGCAGTCGGTCCAATTCCCCGTCGGGGCACATGCCCAGCTTTTGGACTTGATTCCCAGTAGGGGGTGTGCAGGCGGCAGCAGATCGATGATTCTCATCATTGATGAGCCTTTCTTTCCCACCCTCTCTGAAATCAGTAAAAATAAAAAGTGCCCCAGCTGGGTTTGCTCAGTGGATACAGTGTTGGCCTGTAGACTGAAGGGTCCTAGGTTTGATTCTGGTCACACATGCCTGGGTGGGGGGGCTCAATCCCCAGTAGGGGGCGTACAGGAGGCAGCCAGTCAATGATTATCATTAATGTTTCTGTTTCTCCCACTCTCCCTTAGTCTCTAAAATCAATTTAATATTGGGGAGGACAATGTTAAAATATGTACACAGATAATAATTAATAAAAAATGTAAAATAAAATAAACTATATATATATATCAATTGAAATAATGAAAATTTCAGTTTCCTGTGTGCTATGGTCTGGATGAACTATTTCCTTTAAAACTGAAAAATTGCTCAATGGTTAGAGCATTGGCCCTTGAACCAAAAGGTTGCAGGTTTGATCCCCGGCTATCTTTCTCCCCTTTCCTTCTCCCCCTACCTTCCACTCTCGAAAATTCAATGGAAAAAAATATTCAAGTGAGAGTAACCAAAAAAAAAAAATTATAATAAATAAATAAAAAACACGTTTCCAAGAAGGTAATTATTTGTATATTTTTTGCAATATTGTAGCAAAAAACTTGGAAGTAACAAATTAATGGATAAGTAGAGTTGATACATTTATACCAGGAAATACCATACAGCTGTCAAAATGAATGAGTATGGCTAAGAATCAATTCGGATAGCTTACAATAATTTGCTATTGAGTGGGGGAAGCGTTTCGGAATGTTGTATGTGTGGTATTAAACAACGTAAGTAAATATCACAAACGGACAAGACAGAGTTAACCATTATTAAGCACCTACTATGTGCCAGGTGCCTGGTTACTAAGATGGCCCTGAGCTATTAATAGTTACTGAGGCTCCCTGAGGCACAGCCCTGCCCAGGGCCCCCCAGCGGGAGGTCCCTCAGGCCCCTCCCTGCCGCCGCCCTGGGACTTGGCTGCCCAGCGGGCCTCAGGCCTGGGCCGGAATCCTGAGCTGGCGCTGGACGGGAGGCCCTGTAACTCCAGCCGCTGCGCCCGCCCCTGCCCGCCCCTCCGCCTCAGCGCTGCTGGGCTGCCCACAATGCCCCCATTCAGCCCTGGCCCCGCTGGCTCCTGCCAGCATCCGGACAGGACAGACGCAGCCTTCCCTGCGCTGCTCTTCAGGCTGGACTCGGTGGGCGGCATGGAGGGGTGAGTCTCTGGGCCCCGGAGTCGGGGGTAGAGAAGCTGAGTGGCTGCAGCAAGCCCTCCCCGCACCCCAGCCCACCCCCCTCTCCAGGCCTCTGCGGTCGGCCTGGGCAGACACTCCAAGGGTCGCCTCACTGGGTTCTAAGGAGGCAGGGAGGGGGGATGTGGGCTAGTTCCTGGGGGCAGGCCCCCCTCCCTGGTCCACCCTGAACCTCAGAACCTCAGCCTCACCACAGACGGGGATGGCACCCGCCCCAAGGCCAGGGCTGAGCCTGAGACCCAGGAGAGAGGAAAACAGACGGGACAAAGCAGCGGGTGGAAGGAGCCCGGGGGGCAGGACAGGCTGCTGGGCCTGACGGCTGTGAACAGTGAGGAGGGAGCTCTGGGCTTATGGGGGAGAAGAGGGAGGCAAACGCTGAACCCCAAGTGTTTGAGCAGATTCCCTCTGGAGCCAGGAGTGGGACTCCCAGCCC